GGGGAGTATTTAATCTTACAGTCCAGAAACAGAGGACCCTAGGACATTAAGGGAGAAGAGCACAAGCAGAATGTGGGACCTTATCAAGAGAAGCAGTGACAAGACACCAGAGATGGAGGCAGAGATGGGAACATGGAGAGAGAGAGCAGCTGAGGACTCTAGATTCATGGAAAGAGAGGGACTGCAAGCTGGCAGCCAGGAGGCAGGCTTGCATAATGTGCCTTTTGGGGGTTTAAATTATTATATGTGCCTGAGTGTTTAAAAATAAAAAGAGCTAAAATGAATAGAGAGAAATACTGTTAACTGATGGTACATGGAGGGGATTATAATCATTGTAATGAAACAAAGCATATGATTTGTTGAATGTAAAACTGATTATCTGCCCTGTAAACTTTCATTCAATTTACAATAAAAACTTAAGAAAATATATATAGCGAGAAGCAGAGAGACCACTTCCAAAAATAATTTGTTTTTGGAACCATCAAGTCAGTTCGGACCATAGCCACCCTGCATAGGGTTTCAGAGGAGCAGCTGCTGGGTTTGAACTGCTGACCTTGCGGTCAAACTCACCTTGTGGCCCAGTACATTATTCTGCATGCCACACCAGGATTAAGGAGAAAAAACAGCCCAATTAAAAAGCATGCAAAAGATCTGAACAGACACCTCACCAAAGACGGCATACAGATAGCAAATAAGAGCATGCAAAGACGCTCAACAGCATTATTGTTACTAGCTGCTGGCAACTCAACTCAGCCCATGGAGACCTTATATGCAATAGAATGAAATGCCAGGTCCTTTGTCATCTTCAGGATTATTGGGTATATCTGAGTCCATCATGTCATTGCTGTTAAGTGCTGTTGAATTGGTTCCAACTCATAGCAACCATGGAGGAGTGGCTGGTGGGTTTGTGGCTTGTGGAATAGTCCAGTGCTTGTTTTACAGCACTACACCAAGGTTCCATTAAGTTGGTACTGACCCATAGCAACCTTATGCACAGCAGAACGAAACACTGCTCGATCCTGGGCCAACCTCACTACTGCTGCCATGTTTGAGTCCATCAATGCTGCCACTTGGCCAATCCATCTCGTTGGGGGTCTTCATCTTTTCCTCTGACCCTCCACCTTACCAAACATGATATCCTTCTCCAGTGAGTGGTACCATCTGACAATATGTCCAAAGTATGAGAGACAAAGTTTGGTCATCTTGGCCTCTAAGGAGCACTCTGGCTGCACTTCTTCCAAATGTTCCATCAGTAGGTCCCCACAAAACTTACACATGAATGTTTACAGAAGCTTTATTCACAACTGCTCATAATTGGAAGCAACCAAGATGTCCTTCATAGGTGAATGAATGGTTGGTGGTTGTCATTAGGGACCGCTGAGTTGGTTCCAACTCACAGTGATCCTATGTACCAGAGAAACACTGCCTGGTCCTGCCGCCATCCTCACAACTGTTCTTATGTCTGAGGCCACTGTTGCAGACACTGTGTTAATCCATTTTGTTGGCGGGTCTTCATTTTTTTCGTTGACCCACTACTTTAGCAGGCATGATGTCCTTTTCCAGGGCCTGGTCCCTCTTGTCCAATGTCCAAAGTACACAAGACACAAAGTCTCACCATCCTGGCTTCTACGGAAGAATCTTAAATGTGTATCACAAAGTGAAAGAAGCCAATCTGAAAAGGCTATTGTTATTGTTATTGTTGTTGTTAAGTGCCGTTGAGTTAGTTCCAACTCATAGCCACTCTGTGTAGGGTTTCTGAGGAGCAGTTGGTGGGCTTGAGCTGCTGACCTTGTGGTTTGCAATGCAGTGCTGATCCAACAGTGCCACACCAGGAGTCCAGGTTACAGTTAGCTAATATACTGTATAATTTCAACTATATAATATTCCGTAAAAAGTGAAATAACAGAGAACAAAATGAGTAGATAGAACTAGGGTTTTTAGAGAAGTGAAACCATTCTGTGTCATACTATAATGGTGAATACTAGCATTATGTGTCAAAACCCACAGAGCTATGCAACACAAAGAGTGAATCCCCTAATGTAAATTCTGAACTTAGTTAATAATGTATTGTTTGCCCATCAGCTGTAAAAAAATGTATCATGTGGACACAACAGTGGACAAAGGGAGGATTATATGGGGATTCTATATAGTCTGTTCAATTTTTCCATCAAGTTAAAATTGTTCTAAAAAATAAAGTATATATATATTTTTAAGTTTAAAAATAAATAAATAAATGCTATAAATTTCTTATTTGATTAAAAGGAACTTACGCAAAATGTTTTACATGACTTTCCAGAGTAACTATTAGTCATGGCGCCCTCTGCAGGATGGCAGATATTAAGGTTAACATAGTTCATCATATAATGTGAACAGCAGAGTCAGAAAAAGATATTACTAGAATGCTAACAGTTTTAAGATTTTATGTTTAACTACTTTCCTCAATTTATATAAAAGGCAAAAATTTAAAGGGACCAAGGAAACAAATATTTTTCTCTTATCCTAAATGGAAAATGGCATGATTATCAACAGTTGATATGTGGCTGATTCAGTGAGTGACTTTCCATAGGATTTAATTACTATCATCCAGGCTTCACTATCTCTTGCTAGTGTGTGTTGAAGTCTTTTATGTAGGTCAGGGTTGCTAATGTTAGCGTTTTCAAAGAAAAAATGTCTGACCTTAGAAATACTTGGCACAAGTTAAAACAGTTTATGCTATTTTATTACTAAGGCTTTGTGTAATGAGATTATTTGGAGGCAGCCCTGGACTGATGTTTGGAAATTATAAGTAATAAAGTTATATAATGAAGGCTCTAAGGAGACCAAACCACACCCCAAAATTCTCAGACTAAATAGAAATATTTTAACAGCCTTGAATATTTTTATTTGGGGTTTATTTATTTATTTTTTTAAGTAGAAGTTCTTTATAATTACTCAGCAAAAAGGAAAGAAAATCTTCCTGTTTTTATTAAGTTACCTCAGAAGTAAGTATACATTATAAGATAACAATAGTAAATATAGAGTAAACTATTCTGTACACATTTTAAACACTTTGAAAACCTTTCTACTACATAATATAGATTTCAGTCTTTAAAGCTTAAGTTATATTTTAGTTTACCAAAGGAGACGAACAGTAAATGCAAGGCACATTTACTAAGTACCTTCTATATTTTAGGCATAATTATCAATTTGTTTTTCAACTCTTCATTTGAGAACATAATTCCTAGAAGTTGTATCATTCTGAATAATTCATGCTTAAACTATTTTATAATTCATGAGTTTATAATGTTTTGCACTTGACATACATAGCATGAGGCTATGAGACATATTATAAAACATTCTACAGTTCAGTATTGTGTAATTCATGCAAAGAATTGTATCAATGATAACAATAAGATTTTGTTGGTTACTGCTATATTATTGTGGCCCCTTGTCCAAATTTGCTTTCAATCACACATTCTACTGCTTTGATCCATTTATCTCTTTTTAGAATTCTTCCAAATCTTCTGGAACCTACTAGCTCCCACCTTCATCTGTAATTCCTTTCCTTTTAGGCAGTCTTCATATTCAATTTTCTTTCACTTTCCAACTAAATCCTCAATTCTTTGTCTTTTTTTGATCCTAACAAAGAGTATGAGTTCCTGAAAAGGTGCCTAAATTCAAATACTCACTCTTAAAAAGCTGGTCAAATTACATAATTTTTCTTGGCCTTAGTTTCCTCATCTGTAATAGAAGAAGTTGGAATCCTGACGTGGCACTATAGGTTAATGTGCTAAACTGCAAATTCGGCTGTTCAAGCTCACCAGCCACTACTCCTTGGAAAACCTAAACAGGGTCGCTATGGGTTGGAACCAACTTGATGGCACTTAACAATAACAACAGATGAAGTTACTGACTTTCCCAAGTTAATGCCCCTAGTTATTAAAATTCAGTGACTTTTTAAGACCCACTCTGTTGCTCTTTACATACTGGTGAATTACAGTAAAAATCAAATAATGAGGCTGTCTGATAAGCAAGAGACAAGTGCATTTGAATCTATTTTCCTTTTTTCAAAGTCATCATTTAACAACAATGAAACAACTCTTTGGTATAAACTAAAGATGAATGCATTTTAACAAAATACAAAAGGAAGAGAAAAAAATCCTTAGCCATCTGACTCTTGAATGATTTACAGCTTGTTTCCCAATCTAGAACTAGGTATGTGGTGAAATGAAATCTTTTAAGTGGTCTTAACCTTGTGCCTTAGTTTTCTACTCTAGAGTGGTTGTTACTTTTGTCCAGATTAACTGACATTTCCTAGGCAAACTGTAAATAACTTGGTTTGATACATTTCATCTGGCTCTGGGCTGCAGCCTGCACTGTGATTGTACATACACACTGCAGGGACTGGTAAGTAAAACTATGCAAATGAGTAAAGTATCTGTAGTCTACTGATAAGGGACTGGGAGGATTGATCAATTTGTGGCTCTGGTGGCAGTGCTGTACCTTGAAATTGACAAGGAGTTTGGTATGAAGGAGTTTCAAGAAGTTCATGGGAAAATTCTATTATTTTTAAATTCCATTTTCCCACAATCTTTTTAAAGCAGCCATCCCCACAGAGGTTTTTAGACAGAAAGTAGCAACAGGAAAAAGCAGCAGGAAAAAAAGAAAGAGAGATAAGGTACTTCTTAAAAGCTATACTATGGGTCAAGGGCTATAATACTGAAGATGGCCAAAGCAGAGCCAACAGAAGCCTGTCCTCAGAGAGCTGAGAGAAGCCGAGAGCTGTACTGCACTGAAGTAAGGAGACTTTGCTCAGGAAAACTCCTACGATAAATTTTACAGATAATTACAATAAAGCTCCATAATCTTTCTACTGCTTCCAGATACATCTACAATTTGATAAGTGGCAAAATAATAAAGCAGGCATGGTCAGCAAATAAACATATTTTTTAATTATGTGAAAGTAGAAAGGACAAATGTGATATAAGCATCCCCCACCTCTAATGAAAAACACTACTTACCTCATGTGCTAACATTTTATAGAGTTCTTCTCTAGTTACAGAAATCCTTTCTCTGTCTGTACTGTCCACAACAACTATTACAAACTAAAATAATTACAAAACAAAATTATTAGTGATTATAGAATTAGATATTGGCAAAATTTATAAACTGCTTATTTGACAGGCTACAAGTATCAAAAAACTAGATTCTTATGGCATTGTTAGAAACAAGGTATTTACTGCATACTGACAGAACTAAAAATGTGATCCATTTCTAGTTCTAGTATATTTATACATGTTTAAGAAAAGATGATGCTAATACCCTAACCAATGCATAATACTTTATTTTTTAAAAATTAATACTCTATTAATAAGACCACATTGATCTATTTGTGTTATAAAATCCATTAAAAAAAAAATACAAGGGGACTTCTATGTAGATATTTATTAATATTTATTTGGAGACCTAAAAAGCATGTGTATAGGAATAAATTAAGGTACTAGTATAAGAAGCCAATTTTTTAAAATCATTAAATTAAAAGATCAAATTTATGTCTAAAACCATGCTGTCTTCTTTATATGACTGGTACCATGCACCTGATGGTGTGGCTCAGTGGGTTAATACACTGGACTGCAAAGTTGGTTTGAACTACAAGGTCAGCAGTTTAAGCTCACCACTCACTTCTTGGAATCCTTATACAGGGTTGCTATGGGTCAGAACCAACTCGAAGACACTTAACAACAACCTGAATACAGGCATCCTGGTATTGCGCTGTAGGTTAATGCACAGTACTGCAAGGTGGTCGGAAACCCTATACAGGGTCGCTACGAGTCTGAACCAACTTGACAGCACTTAACAACAACAACCTGAAAACAGGCCTTTGCCTGAACTGGCAGTGAGGCTGGTATGAGAAGATGATATAAAAGATATACAAAAGGCCTATGCAGGATTGAGCCACACTGTACCTCATCCTTAACTCTATAGGCACAAAAATACTCAAGGCCAACAGGAGTACCTAAAGAGTTAATGCAATCATTTTACAATGACATATAAAATGTCCAAGTTTACACTGACTACCTATAATGCCGTAAGGAGCCCTAGTGGTGCTGTAGGTTAGGCACCGTGCTGCTAACCACAAGGTGGGTGGTTCAAACCCACTAGATGAGGCTGCCTGCTCCCATTAAGATTTACAGCCTTGGAAATCCTATATAGGGTCATTATGAGTCAGAATTGACTTGATGGCAATGGATTGGGGATTTTATTATTAAAATGTACTATCAATTTTTTTTTTTTTTACTTCCAAGTAGACATGTGATTTTAAGAACTTTTTCTTTTCAAGTCTTCAGATTTCATCAGAAATAAGATAGATGGGATGACGCAATTCTGTACTCTTTTTCTCATTTAATAGCTAACTGACAGGTTGTTCTGTCACTAGCTGTTAAATTTCCAGTATTGGAAATTTCCAGTATTGGAGTTTGATATGTACAGCATTATATACTGCAGCATTATACATAGGAGTACTAACCACCTATACCTTTTCTTCTCCACAAAAACCATTTCAAATGCTTAATGCACTGTTTGGAGATCAGGTCATTAGATATGTAATAGCTATCTGATATACCTTATATCTAGATATGTATTTATTTATAATCAACATTACAAAAACAATTGCCATAGTCTTTCAATTCACAAGTTCTACATAATGAAAGTCTCAAATATCTGTAATGTCCTTTCAGGAATAACATGTAACATAAAAACATATGATTACGTCTAAATTGCTTCATAATGAAAAGAAAAAGAATTATTTACTGTGTTTTGTAAAAAATGCAAAAGTAAACTTTGGTTAGGAATCAAACCACCAGAGCTTTCTATTTTAACTAGGATTTCCCCACTCAGCCAAACATAAATATTAAGAAATGGATTTAATTTTATAGACCAACTCTTTTTAAGATGAGTTCTAGAATCAACACACAATCATGCTAATTAATTACAAATTCTACTTATACATGTTCAAAGACTCTGAAACCAAAGATTTTACTATGCTTAAACTCTACTTATGTAAGTCTGCTATTAGGGTTAAGAAGGCATATTGCAAGAATTCTGTTCATTGAAGTTTTAATATATTAGAAAAATATTACCTCAGTGTTAGTATAATAGGTGTTCCAGGAAGAACGAAGAGATTCTTGGCCACCAATATCCCACATTAGGAAACGGGTATTATTAACGACTATCTCTTCTACATTACTTCCTATTGTAGGGGATGTATGCACAACTTCATTCATAGAACTGAAAACGAAAAATTCATAAATACTATAATTAGCAAAGAAGCTAGCTTGCTTGAATAATTTTTCAATCAAAGAACAAATCAACATGACTTCCTTTTATACTTTATACTCAAATATCCCTTTTCTACTACCTCAAAATGAAAGCAGGCTAAGGGTTGGAAACCCCAGTGTCAGGGTCCCTAGGAGTAGAAAGGGACTACAGGACACTTAACAACAACAATAACAATAAGGGTTTACAAAAGATCTTTAGTGCAAAACAAATCAACGACAAGCTCAACGTCATGTAAATTTCTAGCTCTCTTGAAACCGTTGTTTCAATTTGGTTCCTGGTTTATGGCCAGCCTGCCTTCTTATAGGGTTAACTTATGGTTCCATATATATATATTTTTTTAAAGTTTTCCTTATTCAAAGCTCTTCCAGGCAGAAAAAAATAACTAGAAACAAAATATTTTTTAAATAGCTAATACTTACAATTGGTAAAGAATGGTAGTTTTCCCTGCATTATCCAGCCCAACAATGATAACTTTGTGCTCTGAAATTAAAAAAAAGTCCAGTAATTTATTAATTATAAACAAAAACCAGCAGGCCCTTATTTCAGCCATTCTTTCTGTCTATCTGTAGTATAACTCGCTGTATGCCACTGAATACGTTCTTAGAATTCAAAGGAACACTTTAGCAAGGCCAGCAGCTGTACCACTAATCTCACTCTCCCTCACTCCTAGTCTATCTCAGAGACCTTTCAGCCTTCCTATCTACTCTCTAGGAGGCCAGAAGCATTCTGCTCCAGTCCTCAGTAACGTACACCAAATGCAACCACAATTTTGGCAGTAAAAGCTCCCCTCCAATTCCCCGCTTCAGAGAGATCACTTTCCCCTAGTTTTCTTCTGTATCTTGATGTTCATTATTAATTTTTTCCACTCCTCTTTGTTAAACCATACATCCTTTAACATTTAGCTGCCATCTTGTTAAGTGCCGTGGAGTTGATTCTGACTCATCACGACCCTGTATAGGGTTTCCAAGGAGCAGCTGGTAAGTCTAAACTGCCAACCTTGCAGTTCAAACTGACCCTTGGTGCTACACCAGGACTCCTTAGCTCTCTTAGGATCCATCCATTTCCATGCTATCACCCATTTCTAAAGAGAGCACAGTGTAGAAGATGCTGATCTCCAACAACAGCCTCTGCATAGCCATGCCCTATGTAGCCTCCTCCCCATGAATCCCGGCTGCCTCAGTGACTCACTTTTAACCAACAAAATACAGCAGAAACTATGATTATGCAACTTCAAGGCTAGATCATCAAACAACTTGAAGCTTCTCCCTGGGGTTCCTTTGCCATAATTAGCCTAGGGTAAGTTAGTCACCACAAAAGAAGGCCAACTCCCCCAAGGATGCTATGCTGTTGAGTGAGAAAGACCAAGCTAATTGTGTGGAAAGAAAGGCCTTGTAAAGAATGATGTACCATCAACCCCCAGCTCTGCACGAAGTCATTCTAGCTCAGATAACAGATGGCGCGGTGGGGTGGGGTGATGCTGGTGTGTCTATACATGGTTTCCAAGGCTCATCTTTTTCCCATGGAGTAGTTGGTAGGTAGGAACTGATAATCTTGTTATTAGCAACTCAACCCACTATACTACCAGGGATCCTCACAATTCAGTAGGCCTTATTTATTTTTTAAAAAGTCAAGGAGTGAAGTGAGTGGTATCCAATCTGTCTAGGTGGGGCTGATGAAAGGAAATGCAGATAGGTCTCTTGTGATACAATAGTGAATAATTGTTATCAGGACTGCTTGTGAGGGTTGGAAATGTAAAGGTAGATGTTTTGTAGCAAGGAGGGGAGTGATTAACTTTCCAGTCTAGGAGCGGAGGCCCCTGGGACCATGAAGGGAGAAGAGAAGAGAGCAGGACCCTACCCAGAGAAGCAGTGATCCCTGAGATGGAGGAAGAGACAATGATGTGGAGAGATGGAGCAGCTGGGGACTTTAGAGGCTGGAGGGTGGGGGGGAAGGCTTGTAGGATATACCCTTTGGTTGGTTGATGATTCATGGAGGGGACTGTAACCATGGCAATGAAACGATATACAATAGGATGAATGTAAAACTAATGTTCTCCCATGTAAACTATCACATAATTCACAATAAAACACTAAAAAAAAAACAGTCAAGGAGTGAATTGCAAAATGGTACATTAAATTTCTAATTTTCTTTTAGAAGACTAAAGTGGTTTCTAACTGACTATTTAGAAGACTAACTAGTGGTCTATAACTGACTATTTCAAATCTCTGTATAACTAACTCTCTTACCAGTTGAGAGTCTCACCCTCAAGGACGTGAACTCTTCATAAAACCAACTTGACTCAACATAAATTATAACACGTCTATACGTGTAAAAGCCAAGGTCACTTTTCCTACTGGCTCTGTATTTTAATACGGCCTGTGTGACAGAATACATTACAGCAATACTCATCAGATGGGTTTCTGTGCCCAGTGATGAACAGATGGAATCATGGAGGTAACCTTAGGCTGAACACCCTGAATACTCTGGTTGCAAATGAAATGGAAGCAGGGTAACAGAAACAAGAATCAAAAAGCTGTCTTAAATATGCAGCCTAGTGGACCCTTCAGATGACTCTGTCGCATCTGCCATCTTACTGCAACCAAATGAAATCCCTAAATCAGAATTTCCTGGCTAAGCTTAGTCAACTCACAGAACCATGAGAAGCAGTAATAAATTATTACTTTAAGTAATAAAATTCTGCTTTAAATTTACATAGCAATAAACACTGTTCAAACTCAACAGCAGCTCCTTGGGAACCCTGTACAGGGTCACTACTAGACAACACTTAACAACAAGTAACACCACGGAAAAATACAGATTATGTAATCTTGGAATTTATTTCTCTGAATCTAAGTTTCCTCATTGTAAACTAAGGACAACACTCCCTATCTTTCTGGACTGTGTAATAATTAAGATGGTACAAAGTAGTGTCTACCACTAAGGGAGTTTCCAATTTCTGTTTCCAGTTCTCTAAGCTCCAATCTACCTAGTGGATTGATACAATATCATTCAACATATCCAAAAACAGACATGCTAGGCAATTTTTTATTTCTTTATTTCCTAATTTGATTAATGGTACTACTATTAATTCAGATGTCCTTGGAGTTCATTCTCGTTAGCCATCCAAAATCAGAAGCCACCTCCTTTACTGCTTCTGCTCCAAGTCCTACTTAATCCCCTTATTTAGCTGAAGTACAGAGTTCCGGGACCATTCTCTAAATCTGTTTCATACGGTTATTTCCAGTTTTTACTGGTGGAGGTCTGCACAGCCTTTCTGCTTACTCTTGTCATCAATCCCCAACTCTCACATGTAGATTCTTAAACATTTTTAAATTAGCTTCCAGACTAAGACAGAGTAGGAAGGAGAGATGGACTCCTTCTGAAGGGTTAGCCACTGGAAACCACTGTTTTGACATAGTGCCGGAAGACGAACCCCTTAGATTGCAAGGCACTCAAAATATGACTGGGGAAGAGCTATCTGCGCAAAGTAGACTTGACCTTAATGATGTGAATAGAACAAAGCTTTCAGGACTTTCATTTACTGATGAGGCACAACTCAAAATGAGAAGAAACAGCTGTAAACATCCATTAATAATCAGTATGTGCAATATACGAAGTATGAGTCTAAGAAAATCGAAAGTTGTAAAAAGTGAAACAGAACACATAAATATCAATATTCTAGGCATTAGTGAGCTGAAATGGACTAGTACTGGCCATTTTGAATTACACATTTAAATGGTTTACTAACCCAGAAACAAACTGAAGAGGAATGGCATCACATTCATCATCAAAAAGATCATTTCAAGAACTATGTTAAAGTACAATGCTGTCAAGGTTGATGTTTAAGTACAATAACATAACATCCATAATAATAGTCAATATCACTATTATTCAATTCAAGCACCAATCTCTAAAGCCAGCGATGATGAAACTGAAGAATTCTAACAATTTCTTCAGTCTGAAATTGATCAACATGCATTGATAATTACTAGTGATTGGAATACAAAGAGGAAAAAAGCTCAGTAGCTGGAAAATAGGGCCTTAGTGACAGAAATTATGTTGATGATGTTGTTGTCAGGTGCCATCGAGTCAGAACTGACTCATAGCGAACGACACCATGCACAGCAGAACAAAACAATGTCTGATCCTGGGCCAACCTCACTACCACTGCCACACTTCAGTCCATCAATGATACCACCTGGC